TCTGTCCTACTAAGAAAATTATGTTATGTGCGTATTTTACTTACTTTTTATATTAAACTGTGAAAATACTGGCATGAAATCTATACTGAGTATATTCATATGCTCATTCCATATTCTAAATTATTTTTATAGATGCTTGATAGATCGAAGTTGGAGGTTGAGACTGCTGACAGAGTCCTTGTTGTTGGATAAAAAATTTAAGATTTTCTTTTAATATTTTTTAGTTAGAAAACATTTTTTTATTATTCAAAGTAGAATTTTATTTTATATATTTTTTCAAAATCAATGTTGAATTTTTAAAAATAAGTGCTAAGTTTATATTTTGCTAGTGGTTTGAATTTATATGACTTTTTATGAGACAATAAAATAGTGTAGTTCATTCCGCAATTTTTCTCAAATAATTATATATATTAATGTGCCAATCAACTTTTATAATTGTTAAAGTGATTATCTAAGTAACTTTCGGAGCATAGGTTTTGGGGTGTCACAGATATCATGTCAAAGTGCATAGATCACATGTCAAAGATTCAAGAGATTTGATTAGAGGCCATTGGATCAAGTCACAGGTCATATATCCAAGAGATTTGTTCACTTGCCATTGGATCAAGCCATAATCACATGTATTAGGGCACATCTCAAAGTACATAGGTCGCATATCACAGATTTAAGAGATTTGTTCACAAGCCATATCGGTTCATGGGTCACATGTAAAGTGCATAGGTCACTGGTCATGGATACAAGAGATTTGATTACAGACAATTGGCTTAGGTCACATGTCACAGATTTAAGAAATTTGGTCATAGACCATTGGATCAAGCCATAGATCATATGTCGAAGTGCATAAATCACGTCACAAATTCAAGAGATTTGGTCTCATGCCATTGATTTTCTCTTACGTCAGTTATTTGAACTGGTCACAAATTCAATTAACGAGATTTTGACGGTGAAAATTGAAGTTATTCACTCCGATAAGTATTCCGTAAATTACATCAGTAGATGTTCTCCTACAATCGCTATGTTTTTCCCTCGATTTCTACTATTCGAGCTGAAGATGCTCATTTCGTTGCTGAAACGATCGTTGGCGAGGTGGATGCCGACATTTGGTGCACGAGGGTAGGGATGGGTAGATTAATTTAATTTGATAATATTATTATTTAAAATTAAAATATAATTAACTCCTGAATTTTGTATTTTTTAAAGTTAATGTCTGAAAATTGATTTGGTGCATAACATGAGTTTCATTTTTGAGGAAATTTCACGGTGTACCACATTTTAAAATTAATTTCAAATTTTACTTTTCATAGTTTTTTTATTCTAAAATTACTATAATATATGCAGTAATATAAAAAACCTAAAAATTGACTCTCTCCTAAATTAATCAATAATCATGCAACAATTACGCCATCAAAATGCCCCTATTACTTATCAAACCATCCCAAATCCACGTAGTTAATTCCCCATTTAAATATTCTCAGTTATTACAGGGATATGCAAAATTTCCAATCCCAAACTGCTATATGTTTACATCAGCAACATACTCAATCTTCAAACATGACTTCCTCCTATCAAGTTTTAAGTCATTCGTTATCATCTCAACAAGGTCCGTGTATTTGCAAGAATATGAAACCAAAAGGCTAATAATTTCTGCTCTATTCTTCACAAAGACATTCAATGAATCAATTTCTGTAAGAAAATAGGAAAAACAAAATTCACAATCAAAGTTTGTGAGTTATGTAATATCTCTTAGTCTATTCATGGAACCCCAAAGTAATATTGTTCAATGATCAACATTTCTAGTCTTCACATGTGCAGGAACTATGATAAAATAACCAAATTAGTTCACAAATCACTTTAATGCACAGCCCAGTACATCAATGTATCTTGGTGTTATTATGATAAAACAAAGTTTCATGCACCGATTGATTTCAAGGACTAACAACTAAACACCTAAAACTAAATATACATTACACAAAATATCACTACTTCAAGCAAACAATTATTATACAAACAGAAACTCAAAAAAAATTCTATAGAAATTGTAGTTCGTACCTCCTTAATTGAAAAATTTAGGAAAAATTGAACCCTTCAAACAATCAGATGGACACAAGTGGGGTTTTATAATTTCGACAATTTCTGACCTTGTTGTGAAGAATGCTTTCTTCATGGTGATGTTGATTATCAGGTTTCAAATCCACTTGATATTTCAATGTCTCACTCATTTTGAATTCTAAATTCCATATCTTAAGCCATGTATTGATTGTAGTCCATAGTAGTTGTCGAGCGTTTTCTTTGTGTTCATTCTCTAGTCTAGTTCCCAAGCAAAGTTAACTATTTTAAGAATTCCCTAGTGCAGCCAGATTAAAAAAGATCAGATTAAATCCACTACCAAATTTAATAAGTAGAAAATAAAATTAAACACAAAACCCTGACCTTCGACCGAGAATTCCCATCTCGAGAATTTAATTCCCCGTCGGAAAAAGAAGCCGAGGAAGCTAAAACTATGGTTCTTAAACTTTGAGGTTTAATAAAATACACAGTGGAATAAATAACAAAAAAGGGCAAGCAGGTGAAATCTAGCCATGAGGTTGTAATGTTATCATCTCATTAAATCTCGATTTGAATTTGAAGTTCCATTCCCATACATTTAGCATTTTCTATTTATTATGCCCGCTTGGATTGTGCATAAACATTTTAGTTACAAATTAAAGTAGGGGAAGTTTCGCTCACGGTAAATTTGTTATTTATACTGAGTTATATAGTACTGTATGTTTTGAAATTAATAAGGTAGTATAAAATGAAATATTTTATATTTGTAAGGTAAATATGATTTTTCCCCTTCATTTTTTCTCTTATATTTTGATCTCTGAAAGCCCGGCTAAAGCCCAGGGCAAAATTACTCAATTAGGGTCCGTTTGGTTGTAAAGATGGAATTAAATTGTTTAGAAAATAAATTTCAGGGAATTGAATTACCTATAAATCGTTTTCCTGAGAATTGTAAATTACTGTGTTTGATTGGTATAATTTTTCTCGTGGAAAATATTGAAATAAGAGTCCGTTTGATTGTAAAGATGGAATTGAATTGAATTGAAAACGAATTCCATGGAATTGAATTGCCTAGAAATTATTTTTTTGGGAATTGTAAATTATTGTGTTTGATTGTTATAATTTTTCACGTAGAAAATGTCGAAATAAAAGTAGTTTTTGTTGTTCGTTTGACTTTGTTTTATATGAAAATTGTCAATTAAAGGGATATATTTTATTGATACTAGGGATGAAATTTGTTTTCATTATTAAAAATTAAAAAAAATCAAGAAAATCATCTATCTTTTGGTATTCGTTTGGTTTTGTTTTATATGAAAATTGTCAATTAAAGGAAAATGTGGAATTCAACTTAGGTGTCAAAAAAAGTGGAAAATGAATTATAGGTAAAAAAAAAAAAAAAAAAAAGCTATCAAACAATACAAAAGTGAAAGTTGAAATTCATTTTCCATTTTCTTGGGAAAATTTTAGCTTATCAAACATACACAGGGTCCGTTTGATTGCAGATGTAAAATTTGGGTGGAAAGAAAACGAATTCCAGAGAATTGAATTGATGGAAAATTATTTTTCCGAGAATTGTAAATTATTGTGTTTGATTGGTATAATTTTTCACGTGAAAAAGTTTAAATTAAAGTGTTTTTTTATGTCCGTTTGGCTTAGTTTTACATGAAAATTATCAATTAAAGGGATAGAATTTACTGGTGTTGAGAATGAAATTTGTTTTCATTGCCAAAACCCAAAAAAAAAAATTCAAGAAAATCATCTATCTTTGGGTGTTCGTTTGATTTTATTTTACATGAAAATTTTCAATTAAAGGAAAATATTTTTTTACAATAATTCTTAAAATTTGTTTCCATTGCTAACCAAAAAAAAAAAAAAAAAAAAAAAAAAAAAGAAAAAAAAATAGCTACAGTAACTTGGAAAATCATTTTCCATGAAAACCTTGAAAAATCATATGTGCAAGACAACGAAGAAATGTATTTCTATGGAAAAAAAGAGCCATCAAACACTCTTAAAATTGGAAAATGAAATTCATTTTCCATTTTTCATGGAAAATCCATCATATCAAACACACTCTTAGGGTCCGTTTGATTGCAAAGATGAAATTGAATTTGGTGGAAAAGAATTCTAGGCAATTAAATTGCCTAAAATTGTTTTCCTGGGAATTGTAAATTATTGTGTTTGATTGGTATAATTTTCTATGTAAAAAATGTTGAAATAATAGTTTTTTTAATGTTCGTTTGACTTTATTTTACATGAAAATTGTCAATTAAAATAATAGAATTTACTGAAATTGGGGATGACATTGGTTCCATTGCCAAAAAGCAAAAAATAAATAAATAAATAAATAATTCAAGAAAATCATCTATTTTTTAGTGTTCGTTTGACTTTGTTTTACATGAAAATTATCGATGAAAGAGAAATATTTTTTTACAATATTTTTTAAAATTGGTTTCCATTGCCTTAAAAAAATGAAAAAAAAAATCGCTACAGTAGCAGGGAATTCCACCAAATCAAGGAATATCACGACTTCTAATAAAAGCTAGAAACCAATTCCATGGAAAATCTTGTAAATCAAATACTACATTTTCGGTGGAAAATGAGAATTGGGTGAATCAAACCCTACCTTAGTTATTTTCAAGCTCAATTCTGAGACGAGGTTGACGTGCTTTTAGCCATTTAAAATTACATTATTTGATTCATGAATGATCCTTGCCAAAAAATAAAAAGGGGCCTTTTGTCTCTACATGGAAAGTATTTATAAACAGTTTAATTTATAAACAGATAGAAATGGATGGTGTATAAGAGGATAATACTCATGCTTTAATTGGAATGTATCGTTAAAAATGATGTTTATATAGTTAATATTGTCACCTTGACAATAAGAATAAGGATCCATATATCTGGCACCTACAAGGATTGGAGGTATTTTTGGACAGTTCTTTTCTATGCTTTAATTAATGCCAACAGTTTATAGCCTGTCTTGCGATCCCCATATTGTATCTGAGGTATTTATTCCCCAATTTTGTTTCTTTTTCGGTGAGCTCTATCACTCCTCCATAGTTGTATTTTGAGAAGTATGTGTTGTGCTACTTTCTGCTCGGGCAAACTGCCCCTTCCTCTTTTCTTTAGTTTTTATTTTTTTGTTCCTTAGTTCTAGGCCAGACATTGAACACAATTATTGAAGTGCTGTACTTTTGATACAGGACCATTCCAAATCAATGGTGTTCCTGTAAGACGTGTTAACAAGGCTTATGTGATAGCAACTTCAACAAAGGTTGCCGTCTCCGAGGTAAATGTTAACAAATTTGATGACGAGTACTTTGCAAAGCAAGTCGAGAAGAAAAAGAAGAAGGGTGAGACTGAATTCTTGGAGGCAGAAAAGGAGGTTAGTTTTTTTCCAAATCTTTTTTTTTTTTTTAACGAGGTGTCCCAGCTTACGCCAGACTATATCCTCGTCCCTGAACTTCCGGCCCCTCAGCAGTTCAGGGAGGTAAATCGCGGGATGTGCCCAAATTGATCGGGTTCGAACAACCTTTATACTCCTGGCCCCAAGGGAGCCTCCTCCATGGTTATTACATCACCAAACTGCTCCAACCCTTCCTCTCGTTATTACAACACTCAGCTGCTCCAACCAGAAATGAACTCCCCACGCTGGGGTTGCGAGCCCCGCACTGTCCTTCCTTTGCCAACTTGGATGTGCCCCGGGGGGCAGTTTTTTTTTCCAAATCTGATTATATGCATTGTTGTTGTTCTGATTCTTCAGTTGTAATATTGTGACGCCTGAAATTAGGATAAAGCCTCTCTCCCAGCAGAGAAGAAGGATAACCAGAAAGCCGTTGATGCAGCATTGCTTAAAGAAATTGAAGCTGTTCCTGATTTGAAGTCCTATTTGGGTGCAAGATTCTCTCTCAAGTCCGGCATGAAACCTCACGAGCTTATCTTTTAAATTTATTATAAACAAATCGTAGACCTTCCATTAGAGGCTGCCATTAGCTACATAGTTTTTCCGGTATCTTGATTCTTGATGTCGCAATTTCTGGTTTATTAATTTTTGGGAAGTTCCATTTGAATGAAATTCTATTGTAAACATACGATGTTTTATTTGCTTCATGTGCTATCTTGTCAAGCAAGCCTTGAAGAAAGATTAACTTGCAACATGTCTGGTTAAACTTGAAAATAACAAGTAAATGCTTTCTTGAAAAATGTAAGGGCTTTCTTGAAAAATGTAAATTTACTTATTTCTTGATTGTTAGGTGATGCCACGTTGAGCAAAAATGTTATCTGAAAGTTATAAGCGGCGAAATACCGAATTCTTGAACTACTTTTCTTAAAATTATAACATATTTTTTAAAATTTGTAGCAATAATAATTTGAGACAAGTAAATTGAAAAAAACTTAATTCTTGATTTTAGTACCATATACCGTAACTTATATATTGTAGTAATTATATATTTCATCAAATTCCCACTATTTTTGTATTGTTTTCAAATATTTTTAATTACTAATAAATTTTAATTTAAAAATACTCCTTTTTTCAAAGTTCCTATTATAATTTTGTATATTTACAGTGTGACCCGAATCCCAACAAATCTTCTAACCACTCTCCGAAGTCACTTAGGCACTATGAATCAATCGAGAATCAAGGAACAAAAGGTAAAGGAAGATTGCAGTCGAAAGAATCAAAGAAATGGATGGCCCGACGGATTATGATTTCTGCTCGATATGCCAAGCCAATTTTCATATTCCTTGCCAAGCCAATTGCTCTCATTGGTTCTGCGGTCAGTCCATTTTTGCTTTGCGCAGGCACCCTTGATTTTTTGTTTAAATTCCACATAGGGATTCGCTGTTGATTGTTTCTTACTAGTTAAAGTTGCTATTGAATTTCAAGATTGAATTATGTGTGAATGCACATGGAAACTGGAATGAATGATTTTTACTCTTTATCACAGAGAAGAATTCATTATCAATGGTTGTCTCAGGGCGCCCTTTAGTCTTACTTTTGGAATGGAGAAATATTTCTATGCCGGAATCTGGGAGCACTTGATCTTTTAGTTATAGAACACTATAGTTTAAAAGGCATTACACCAGTTATTTCCTGCACACAAAGTTGAAAATAGAATTAATGCTTCATTTGGCTTATTTATAGAATTATTCCATTCAAACCTTGTAGATATCCTTGCGATGTGAGGGATTATTAAGTGCCCTCTATTCAGAAGTCAGGCTCATCTTGACCAGATGACATTGATATGTTTTTTTTTTTTTTTTTTCAGTCTTAACTAGAGTTATCATAATTGGTATATGACTGTAATGTTTCGTTTTTAGGTAATTGTATATTACAAGTTTGGAATTATGGATCTGCTCTTCATCCTTGTAAATGTCCCCTATGTCGACGTGAGATCACCTTGTTGGTTCCTAGTGAGGTTTCATCAAGGCAGCGTCACGATCCTGGAGTTGCTGAGGTTTTACAGAGGACAGAAAGATATAACCATATTTTTGGTGAACGTTCAAATGGTCTTATGCAGGTATATTTCAAGTCCATTGTGTTTTATTTGTCACACTTAAATTTTGAACTGTATCATCCTAAAAAGTTGATGTTGTTTCGTACAAACTTTCATTCCTGTTTATTTGTTCCTTTGACTTCAGTCCCACCTCATTCTAGTTGAGTAATTACTTTCCCAACGAGACTTGTTTCTTTCTTGTCCATTTGAGTAAATGGTGCTTTTACTTTTATTTTGGAATTTTGAGTGCTGTGAGTTCTTTATGGCTGAGATATTTTTAACACTGCATTCAATTTGTTTTTTAATAATTGATGCTTTTGAATACAAAACTTAGTATTGCTAGTTATTAATAGGTTATAGGAAATTCCGATGAAAGATCAATCTGAGATTCAGTTTCGTGAAGGTCCCGGGGGGTGGGGAGGGTGTTAACAAGCCTTTTCAAGCTGAACTTTGATATGGTCAAGGTCTGCTTGGTATAAAATACGAGTCTAAAATAGTTGAAGCTTGGCTGTTTACTCAATGAATTTCTCTGTTTCGTATGAAAGGATGTCGGGGGCAGAAATGTCCATAGAAAAGGTTTTTTTTTTTTTTTTTTTTTTTTTTTTTCTTTTTTCAGGAGAAAGACACATGTGGGGGTCAATTAGGACAATTATTGGTATCATTATAGTTCAGTATATAATATTCCTTGTGAAGATTAGTTTGCATAAACTGAGAGAGTAAAAATCTACTCTTTGTCTCCTCTCCCTTTTATTTATATAGAGAGTCAATCACGTACATATATGGAAACTAAATATACCAAATAATATTCTTGCCTAATACACATTTTTTCTAATTGATTTTCTTCCTTAACACTCCTCCTCAAGCTGGAGTATATATATCATATAAACCTAGCTTGGAACACAGAAATCTCAACCGATTACTGTTCAATGATTTCGTAAACATATCAGCAAGTTGGTCTCCGATTTTCACAAATGGTGTACACATGTCACTACATACTATCTTGTACCGAATAAAGTGACAGTCGACTTCAATATGCTTGGTCCTTTCATGAAAAATTGGATTGGATGCAATATGTAAAGCAGCCTGACTATCACAGAACATCGGTATAGGAGTAGAGGGTGAAAGATTGATTTCTTGAAGAAAGTGCTGCAACCACATCAATTCACTACCAGTATGAGCCATCACCCTATATTCCGCTTCTGCACTTGATCTTGCAACCACAGTCTGTTTCTTACTTTTCCAAGAGACAAGATTACCACCGAGAAAAGTACAGAATCCAGTAGTAGATCGTCTATCTGACGGAGAACCTGCTCAATCTGCATCTGTAAATCCTTCTATTCTGATATTTCCATTTGGTTTATACAACAATCCAAGACCTGGAGCCTTTTTCAAATACCTAATAATACGTATCACAGCTTCCCAATGGGAAACTCGAGAAGTATCCAAAAACTGACTAACAATGCTGACTGCAGAAGAAATATCCGGTCGTATGATAGTAAGATAATTCAACTTTCCAACCAAACGACGATATTTCCCTAGTTCTGCAAATGATTCTCCTTCATCTTTCAAAAGTTTCATATTAGGATCCATAGGGGTATCAACTGGACGAGCTCCAAGAAAACCTATCTCATCTAACAGGTCAAGTACATATTTTCTCTGAGATAAGTTGATGCCTGCCCGAGACCTAGCAACTTCAATACCCAAAAAATATCGAAGCTTGCCTAGATCTTTGGTGTGGAAATGTTTTTGTAGAAACTGTTTCAATCGAGCAATCCCATTTGCATCATCACCAGTTATTACAATATCATCTACATAAACTACAAGGATAACACGATCTACATCAGTTTGTAGATGAAATACTGAATGATCTGTCTGACACCTTTGAAGACCAAATTTTAGAACCATGCCCTCGGTGATTGCTTTAACCCATATAAAGTCTTTTTCAACTTATAAACATAGTTCTGGTACTCCCCCTGAGCAACAAACCCAGGTGGTTGCTCCATATAGACCTCTTCGTGCAAATCACCATGAAGGAAGGCATTTTTGTTCATGTGGCTCATATAGAGTGGAACACTCCGCGACAGCATCGGCCTTGTGCGGGTTTAATTCATTGTCTGGTTGTTAGGGACGCTGCCCCCGCAGTACGGTATAGGGGTATTTTCTGTACGGGCCTTAAAGTCTTATATGGGCCCAGGCTAGGGTTAGTATAAAAGGGTGTTTGGTAGGAATTTTTATGTGAAAATGCATTTTTGAATAGTAAATTGATGGGAAATGTGTGGTTGAAAAATAAGAAAAAGTTTTTGATTTACGTGTAATATTATTTTAATAAAGAATGTGTGGTTGAAAAGAAAAGAGAGAAAAATGCATTTTGATAAAAATGGGTGCCAAACAGGGCTTAAATAATATGTTGTAACCCTATTTTTAACTACTGAATAAAGAAATCTCCGCTTCGCTCTCGTGGACGTAGGCACACCGCCGAACCACGTAAAATTCTTGTGTTGATTTTCGTTTTCATCTCTTTAATATTGCGCATAAAATTCAAGAATCTAACTGGAACAATGGCCAATCAAGGTTAGCAGCAATAGAAATCAAAACTCGAATAGATGAGATCTTAGCAACCGGAGAGAACGTCTCATCATAATCAACACCATAGGTTTGTGTGTAGCCCTTAGCAACCAATTGAGCTTTCAACCGATCAATAGTCCCATCAACTTCAGAACATAAACCCATCTATTACCAACGGGACGAATACCAGGTGGTGAAGGAACAAGGTCCCAAGTCTGATTCTCGTGTAAGGCTGCCATTTCCAATTCTATAGCCTTTTGCCACTCAGGATCAGATAAAGCTTCTTTCACTGTCTTAGGTACAAAAACACCAGAAAGTTGGGATGTGAAACAAGAAAATGAAGGTGACAACAAATCAAGAGTGACATAGTGGCTAATAGGATATTTAGTTACATAAGTACGTTTACCTTTGCAGAGAGCAATGGGCAAGGATTCAGTATCGGAACAGACGACAGAAGTAGGATCTGAAGACGGCAAGGCGCTGGATGGGGCCACGGGTGGTGGTATCTTAGATCGTCTGGTATAAACCTGTAAAGTAGGAGGTGGTTCCTTATGAGAAGATGAGGACCTTGGTATAGTAGACGAAGACGAGACTGGTTCCGGAGAAATGCCAACTGGTAGATATGGAACTGGTAAGCTAACGGGATCCCGAGTAGATTCGGGAGACGTACTATGATCAAGGAAATAAGGTGTAAACTCATCGAAGGTGACGTCTGCACTTTCAAAATAGCATTGCAGAGAAGAATTGTAACAACGATACCCTTTTTGTGTTTGAGAATAACTAAGGAAAACACATCTCATAGAGCGAGAGTCAAGTTTGTCACGGCTAGGACCAAAGGAATGAACATAACAAACACACCCAAAAAAGTGTATCAGGCAAGAATATTATTTGGTATATTTAGTTTCCATATATTTACATGATTGACTCTCTATATAAATAAAAGGGAGAGGAGACGAAGAGTAAATTTTTACTCTCTCAGTTTATGCAAACTAATCTTTATGGTATCAGAGCGATTCCTTTAGGGTTTGGTATTACTTACCACTTCTTCTTCCGAGCAAACCGTCGTGGTTGTCGACACGGCAGGTGGTTGGAGTAGTGGTCGTGTATTAGGTGCAGATTCTTGGCGTCAACGCTCTGTTCGTAGGAGGAGTTTGGGTTGTAGTTCGCCATTGTGGGTTGCAGCAGTTTTCATGGGTTGCGGTAGTTTTTCGACTCCGTTCGAGTCGGGTTCTAAGCTTGCCATTGTGTGCAGTTGTGGGTTGCAGCAGTTTTTCCGGCGTCATTCGGGTCGAATTCTGAATCTTAGTTCCCAACATCTTTGTGTACGGTTTCAGCATTTCGTTCCTTTGTGTGTGTGAGCTACGCGATTGCCGGTGTTCCTAGGTGCAGGCTTGTCGACCCATTTGTGTGAGCGAAGTGCTTTAGGGGTTCCTTGCATGCAATTCAAGCGTCCTTCCTCTATGTGTTGATCGAGGGGTTTCAGCTTATCTTGGGTGGGATTACGACGTCCCGGTGTGTTCGATCAACGGCGGGTTCTCATCTTACAGTGAGTTTCGTTTTGCAAATTTGGGTAGTGTGTTCTTTGGGCCTATTCACTTTAGTAGGCTTGAATATATTTACGTGGGCTAATTTTTGGTGGATTGAACTTAGTGGGCCTCATTTAATATTATTTAGTTGTTCACTCTGATTGTGGGCATATTTGTGATTTTGTGATTGATTGTTATTGTTAATTGGTCTTATTCTCTACGATCCAAAATTACGTCATCCAAGATGGAAATGTTCAATTTGATTGGACCATTGGCACCAGAAAAATTGAATGAAAGAAATTATATTTATTAGACTAAGTGTGTCGAAGTTTTCTTGCGAGGTAAAGATTTATATAACCACTTGATTTTAGACAAGTCGCCTGTCAAATCATCAGAAGGTGACTCTGTAAAGACCAATTCTATTCTCAACGATCAGTGGGATCAAGATGATAACGCAATTATTGGACTTATGATCAGTAGTATTGAGCCTCATATTGGATCTTCATCACTCTACATGTCTACTGCTAAGCAAATTTGGGAGCATCTTAAACATATACACTCTGGAACTGGGAATATTACTCGAATTTATGAGACTTGCAAACAATATTTTGGGCTTGAGAAAGGCTCCTCCAGCCTTGTTGAGTATTATAATAAACTATTGGCTGTGCGTCAGGAAAGAAATATGCATCAACCTCTCTCTCTTGACTTGAAGACTATGGAAAAACAGCGAGGAGACATTGATGTTATTAAATTCCTTCTTGGTCTTCCATCAGAGTTAGAAGCTGTCGGGGCACAGATATTGGGTGGAAAAGAACGTCCAAGTCTCCCAGAGACATTCTCTTGTATTCAGCGCTCTACTCTCTCCGATAATACACCTAGTGGAGATCATCCTGCCTTTGTTGCTAGGGGTGGCTCATTTAGGGGTGGACGCAGCGGTCGAAATGGACGTGGTGTTAGTTCTAGAGGTGGACAAGATATTAGAAGCAGTAGCCGTTTGGGAAATCGTGAACCTCGAAAATGTACTCACTGTGGTCGTATAGGTCACTTCGTTGATTATTGCTGGGACATACATGGCAAACCATCTGGTTCTGCCAATCAGGTCTCGTCTAATGAGGACCATCACCTAATATCTGGATCGGTAACTAACTGTAGCTCAACACAAGGATCTGATCTCTTAATTGTACCACGAGATGAGTATGCTGAGTTTTTAGCTCATAAACAGGCTACTTCCACTTCTATAGCCACACTCGCTCAGTCAAGTATTGCATCTTCTCACTGTCTATTGTCATCCTCTCATTCTGGTGCAACAGAACACGACTGGTTCGTCTACTTCTCTCCTTGATTATCATCCTATTACTCATTCCACATGTGTCACCCTGGCTAACGGTTCCCAAACTAGTGTTGCAGGCTCAGACGATACTTGTCCCAGTCCTAACATTAATCTGTCAACTGTCCTTCATGTTCCTGGATTTCCCTCTAGTTTATTGTCTATTAGTAAATTACCAAATCTCTTCAGTGCTCTGATACCATGAAGATTAGTTTGCATAAACGGAGAGAGTAAAAATCTACTCTTCGTCTCCTCTCCCTTTTATTTATATAGAGAGTCAATCACGTACATATATGGAAACTAAATATACCAAATAATATTATTGCCTAATAATACTGGGTTTAGTTTTTCTATCTATGTTCCAGGATTCCTATATGTTATTCTCGGCACACATGTACAGATGGAATTCTTTTCTCGTACAACAGTAAATGAATTTTCAACATAATTTCTCCAATCGAATGCTTTTCCATATTAAACTATTTCTTTTTATGGCTCCAGTTTCTTGTGAACTCAATTACTGATTTGAAGTTGAAAAGTAGGTTCCATCCAAATTGAACTCAAAGAGTTTTTGATTTATGTGTCCCAGCGCTAATAATGAGAGTAAAAAACAGATTAATCAAGATCCCACTTCTTTTCACAAGGGAATAAATATTTCCTCCTATTTTCTCATTTTTTTATCGTGCTTAGATTTCATATATTTTCATGTATATTATGACTTCAGTTTGGCTTAAATTCTTGATAATTATATAATATAACTCTTATCTTTCATTGTTAATGCTAATCCTTTTCGTTTACTCTCACATCATTGAAGGCTTTTAACTCCAGTTATGTATTCCAAAATCTGATCATGGCTTTTTAATTTCTTGACATGTTCGAGTTTGCATTTGTGCCCATGTATTTCTTTTACTACAGTTATTCTTTTGATCACGAATTATCTTTAGAAAAAAAAAGCAAAGAGCTTAGGAGAGTAGTATCAGTTATGCATTCTATAGAATAGTGTAATGAAAGACACCACTACTGTTATTCTTGTTGCATGATATCTTTTGAAGCATTGTTTGAGACTCTTGAAGACCTGAGAGTATCTTAAAACATGTTTAATGTCCAATCCTTTCTTGGTCTTAATGTTCACATCCTTAAGGGCACCAATTGAATGTCTAAAAATTCTTGGATTTCATTATGATATGATTAATGATGCAATATCTTTCTGGTTGGCAGAGGATGCAAGATCTTCCCTTTCTTTTAAGGAGATTGTTGCAAGATTTGATCAATCCACAAAGATCACTTCCGCTTGTTATGCGGGCACGTGTTTTTCTGGCAGTTAAGTCGTCACTCTCCAATATGCAACTATGACAGCATGTTATCAAACTTTTCGTTTTTTACGGTCATACTTAGTGTGTGTTTGAGCCACATTATTTTTGAAGAATATATTTTCGCATAGTAAATTGATGGAAAATATGTGGTTAAAAAGTAAGGAAAAGTTTTGAATTTGCGTGTAACATTATTTTATTGAGAATGTATGTTTGAAATGATATCAAATCACTGTTTAAGAATGTAGCCCCGTTTAGGAGTGATTTTCACCCCCAAAAAGTTGATTTTTTGACTGTTATTTCATTATTCTAGACATAATTTTTGACTTCTTTTTTTACGGGTGACCCCCACTTTTCTCCTAATGGTCAAAAAATCAATTCTCAGAATCACTACCGGATAGGCCCAGTATTTTTTTCCAAATAATGTGGCTCAAACAGGCTCTTAAATTACATGTAACAGCCATGTTATTTTATTCATCGTCTATTAAGTTAACATGAAAAACTCAGTAGAAACAAGCACAAAGTAAACATGTTTCTAAACTTTAGTATGGTAAACTCTTATATAGAGTTTTGGCAAAAATTAACCTCAAGAACTTCTCTTTGACACAGCTTTATGGCTCATGAAAGTAGGCTTGAATGAGGCCTCTTAATGGTATGCACACGAAACATTCTGGCATAACACCTAAATTTTTACTGCAGGTCATTTTGAAATTTTTTATTAAAATATGCTAAGCGACTTATTTAATCCGATATTAGCGGTTTGTATCTAGGGATACAATTAGATGGATGCTTTTAGAGTTGTTCAATTTTTCCCCCCTTGATGTTCATTAGGGAAGTTTCTACTTTTGAGCGGTTTTTTATTTTTATTTTGCTAATGTGCAGATTATATTGAGTGCTACATATGTCCTCAGTCCCGTGGACATTGTCCCTGAAGGTACTAATGGTTGCAAATTGTCTTCTATTTGCATTCTTATAATGTTTACGTTAGTGCAACTTTCTTTTTTCGTGACAGCGCTGCTAGGTATCATTGGTCTTCTTGATGATTTCATTATTGTGTTGATATGCTTCCTCCATGTTGCTGCCCTTTATCGATCTGTTCTTGTTCTCCGTCATGGAGGGTCTTAAGGTCGACTCGAGTTTTGATTCTACTACCAAAGAAAAGGATTTACATCATATCTTGTGGTTGTAATTATGTTTTTACTCTTTTCTATTGTAGCAGTGGAACAATCATATACATTGAATTGAATTGGATTCTACATTTCGTCACATTCTTCATTGTTCTCCCTTCTTCTTTGGATGGGATATACAGACATTTCAATTGAAATTACACGAACTTTCACACTTTCAGCTGATAGAGGTAGCACACATTGACATGCAATTAATAAAAAACGCTCATGTTATTACTGATAATTATTAAAAAGTTGATAATCATATTTTTTATCTTATGATTTTAGAAACCAATTTACATACCTAATATTAAGAAAGTAGATTATGCAAACAAAAAAGAAACCATCATGGCACAAGAAGAATTGAAAATCACATTTCAATAATTCTTATTCTATTATATTTTCTCCAGAATGGAATGTTACATAAAAAATTTCAACTATTCTCCAAAATATGTTATACTTTTATATAACATATTGAATTAATAAATTAGAGTATCAATGTGGAATCTTAAAGAGTCCAAAGTGGGTCCAATCAATACAATACTACTACACTTTTACTATTAATGTATATGGTCCAATATAATCTTTTAGTGCTAAAGTATATAAAAAGGAAAACTGATTCAGAGTTCAGTATGGATGAAATATTCTTCTTCTTCCTCTGGTTTATTAATGTTGTCCTTATCAGAGGAAGAAAGGCATTCGGCTGAAGGTTGAACGTATCCATAACCAAAGCCAGCAGCAGAATTGCAGTAGGTTTCCACGGTGCCATCCTTTCTTTGTAAGTTGATGTTATTGAGCACTATGTGGGTACAGGGGACTGTGTCACTGCAAGCAAATTTCATGGCTTTTTGGCTTCTTGAAGTTCCACTGATGTTACGGTACATGATTTGGCTTATTGCCACTGCTGAAGTCTATTAAAAATGAAAAGAAAAGCTCATTTATGATACTTGATGGAGAAAACAAATTTGTCATTCACCAAAATATGCACCTGATTTTGGCAGGCTGATGGTGAATCGCAGTAAAATTGGTCGATGATAATTGGATTTGAAACATCTTGCATCATCACATTTTGGTAGCGTACTGCACGCACATAACCAGATCCTCCCTACAAAACCCAGACTTTCCTTCAGTTCTCAAATGAACAAGGATAAGGATGTGCGTACAAATTATGGATGATTCTGGAGACAAGAAAATTACCTGCCAAGTCTTGATCCTAAGGCCATTGGTTGAAGCTCGAAGGAATGCATTATCCAGAACTATATTTTCAACTATACCGATGGAGTTGTCCTTCCCAAGACTACCTATGCTGGTGTATCATAATCATGAAAGATACTTTGCAAGTAAGTACAACAGGATAGAATACATATCGAGCCGAATCTTAAACATGCGGTATTCATGACTGTTATTAAGAATTATACCTAATTATGCAAAATATGCATAAATATTGTACCTAATTCCATGACCAGGTCCACAGTAGATGGTCTTCATCTTGATATTTGAGCTGGCGTTGACAATTGAAATACAATCGTCTCCTGAACACCACCATGTGTTAAAGGAGGTGATAACGTAGCATATTGATTCATTAAATTTGAAAATGTCCAATATTGGTTGTAATTATGTTTTTACTCTTTTCTATTGTAGCAGTGGAACAATCATATACATTGAATTGAATTGGATTCTACATTTCGTCACATTCTTCATTGTTCTCCCTTCTTCTTTGGATGGGATATACAGACATTTCAATTGAAATTACACGAACTTTCACACTTTCAGCTGATAGAGGTAGCACACATTGACATGCAATTAATAAAAAACGCTCATGTTATTACTGATAATTATTAAAAAGTTGATAATCATATTTTTTATCTTATGATTTTAGTTGGATCGTGAAATGACAAAGTGCATCTGTTGGCTGTTTTGAATTGTAAGGCCTTTCACACTTATGGCAGAACTTGAATCTATTGTCAATGCCTGCAATTTTATCACATTTTCATTTCTATATGTTGTTAATTTTTTAATGTAGCAGGATATGGTTCACGGTGCTTGCATGATAGATCTACTTAGTAGGGATAAGAACCTTACAGTTGGTGCTCCTTTGCATGGCTGGAAAAAATAAAAAGTAACAACACGAGTAAACAGTAAGAATATGGTCATAAAATTAGTTCTTGTTTGTTAAAAACCAGACAAAGTAAATGAATATTACATTGGACTTGTTCTTTTTGCAAGATGCTGCCCACCATTTACCGCCTGAGCCATCAATAACTCCACCTCCTTGGAAAAGAACCTTGGTTAAATTAGAAAAATCAAGCCAATTCCTTGAATTTTTGGGGTCCCAATTCTTTGGTTCGTCTGGTGCTACAATCGTTCCTTCAATCTGCATTCTCGATTAATGTATTAGTAAAACACAAAACCAATGCTTAATCCATTAAAGAGATATAGGTACCTGGATTACTAACTTGTCAGCACAAGGCCCTGTAAATCTTGTAGCATTGACTAGATAACGGCGTCCTTCAGGAACTAGTAACACAGATTTTGGCGTAGAACAAGCTTGTTTCCATGCATTTACAAATGCCTGAAGATAGCAACACAAATGTAGAAACAATGTAAATTTTAAGAAATAGGAAAAAAGGGAGACTTAAATGGTTGTATTCACCTGAGTATCATCGGATGTTCCATCTCCAGCTGCACCAAATGCATCCACATTCACAAGAATCTTGCTTGCGCGATCAGATTCCCATGATGGCAACTCCAAGAACTCGAATTCCTCTTCCCCATTTCCTTCAACATCCAAATTCTCAAGCTCCCCGAGACCCTCGAACTCTGGAGAAAATTTTGGTTCTGCATTTCTACAAGGCACCAAAAGCAAAACTATTAAGGCAAGAAATAGAATCTTGTCCATGATATTTAGGTAGGTTTTGTATTTGTTATGGTAGATTGCTTTGATTTACATAAATGAAGTGAACCCTATTGGGGTATTAATTTATAAGTATGATTCAAATGGAGGGATCTGAGTGGGTACATGGCTTGGCTTGGAAGGTGGACATGGAAGTGTTACATATGCCTACACTTGAAGTGTAAGATTATATAATTTTGGATGATTTTGCTTTACTCTTGAGAATAGTGGCCCAATGCATTGACATCCATAGTCAAACTGACTAATTTTCTTTTGTGTATTATTTTTCAGGTACCTATTCTATTACAGTTGCAGTAGCTTTTTGCAGGTTGCCAGATAATGTGGTCCAGCAGATAGAATATTCATAGATATGAATCTTGGCTGCAACTTATAATTTGGAACATTCAATTGAAGAAACCAGATAGTATAATATCTAATCTCTGTTTACCGTCACTTGTTTTTCAAACTTTGTTTTGACATATTTTTGTCTCCAATTTTTCATTAATAAATGTTTAGGTCAAAACCGTAATCAACGACAAAATGTACTAGTTAATTAATGAAAAATTGATGATAAAAATGCAACAGAAAAAGGTAGAGATATAAATATGATAACAAGCAAACAATGTAAACATTTCGTCCGTGTTTGATACAAATTTTTTTGAAACTTAATTTTTTCCCTAAACTGATTTCAAATGATTGTTTCTCCCAGCAAAATAATTTCTATGTGAACCCCTAACATTTTCATACCTTTTAACTATCCAATTTCAACAAAATATATTATCAAAAAGACTACATTAAACAGGCCTTTATAATTAATTAAAAGTAGTCCAAGAAGATGAAAATGTAGTATGAATATAATTATAGAACCCTAACTTTTTCCCCCTAATTTTTCAGGCGGGATATCAATATCATGAGTTGGGCTCTGCAAGTATGGGCTGCCCAAAAAAGCAGCCACTGTCCATATTTGGCCG